GGTCTTTAATAAGAGTTTTAGTTGTACAATATGTTACCTTCATATTTAAAGATATTGAAATCTGACAGTACTATTACATGCTTATCTTTGACCGTGTTCTTAAAAATTGATCTTTCGTTGGTAGTCAACAGTACTATTACATGCTTATCTTTGACCGTGTTCTTAAAAATTGATCTTTCGTTGGTAGTCATATCCCCAAATAAGGATACTTGCAGAGTCTTTGACCGTGTTCTTAAAAATTGATCTTTCGTTGGTAGTCATATCCCCAAATAAGGATACTTGCAGAGTTGTGCCACTTTATAGAGAAAGGAAAAATATCAATTTTAATTTTTTTACTTATACTATGGTAACTAAGTATCATGTGCATATTTTTTGTCTATTATAGTAATTTTCAAATCTTATCTAGTTTATTATATCTCGCAATGTAGTTGATCATTGGCTTCACTTTAGTTTCTATTGTAAGATTATTTATATAAAATTTTATATTAAGTTTATGATTCCTTCAGTATTTTTAGAATAAAGTATAAAAATTTATAAGTATTTACTAATTTTTTCTTGTACTTTTCATGAATAATGTTTTTTAATTAGGATATAATTGTTCAATATGTTCTTCAAGGAGAACCCGGTTAGTGCTTCTTTGCTTGATATGCTTTTTATCAATGTCAATTCAGGTGATTCATGAATGTTTCTGAACGGTTAGTGCTTCTTTGCTTGATATGCTTTTTATCAATGTCAATTCAGGTGATTCATGAATGTTTCTGAATTTTGAGTTTATTTCCTTCATGTCAATTCAGGTGATTCATGAATGTTTCTGAATTTTGAGTTTATTTCCTTCACTTCTCCATTTAAAATGAAAGCAACTTAGTTTTTTTAAAGGATATCTCTGAATTTTCTGATAGTTTCTCCATACATAACTTTTTGTATTTTTTTACTTTATAAATAAATATTATCAATATTAGAGATAAATATTTATACATTATAATTAGTTAATGCTAACCTATTATATCTTAATGTAACAATATCAAACATTTCCTCTTTTCTTTGTCAAATTTTAGCCTTTTTGTGATTTAAACTTTTAAGCGTGTGTTTTGTAATTTTTAAACTTTGATAGTATTTTATGAAAATTTTAAAATTTAAGTTGGGCGCTTATAATTTTCATGTTTCATGTATTGGTGATAAGTTTTAAATGTTAGAATATTTCTCGTAACTCTGAGAATTTGAAGGTATTTTTATAATTATTAAAATTTTGGGTTGTTTTAAATTTTTAGCAATCTGCTGATAATTTCTAAATTTGATGTGTACCAGTTATTAAAATTTTGGGTTGTTTTAAATTTTTAGCAATCTGCTGATAATTTCTAAATTTGATGTGTACCAGTTATAAGTTTTAAAATTTTTTAGCAATCTGCTGATAATTTCTAAATTTGATGTGTACCAGTTATAAGTTTTAAAATTTTAGATTTTTTAATAATTTTTACTTTTGAGAGAGTTTTTATAATTTGTACCTTTGAGGTTATTTTTTTACTAATTTTAAATTTCTATGTGTGTAATGGTAATCCTGAGAATCCATCTATGTTGTTTCTAAGTTTTGAAATCTCTGAATTTTAGAATGTATTTTTTGTAATTTAAACATGGCTAAATGGCACTTATATACCCTATTGTTTTGCTCTTGTAGTAGTTATATGTCCTAAGTTACAAAATATAGCAAAAAATTACCCTGAGTTGGTAACTATTTAAATTTAGCTAACATAATAATGCCCCTCTTTAAGAATTAACCTCCTCTCCCCCCTCCCCCAACATAGTGAAAGCTCTTGTTTTCTACTGTTACCCATATTAAAGAGTACGAAGAAGTTGGAGGCCACGAAAAGAAGATGATGATGATGAAAATAATCTAATTTGCGGGTGGGGAGGGGGGTGGGAGGTAGATAATATAGTAAATAATACAATAAATGAGGGTAAGAAGTATTCAAGTTGGTCATAGGTCCAGTACGTGGAAATATTTCAAAGAATATTCTCACAGCTGGTTAACAGAAGGTACCAACTTGCAAATTTTTACCAATTCAAGTTTTTTTTTTGCTATATTTTGTAACTTAGGGTATATAACTACTTCAAGAGCAAAACCCATAGGGTATATAAATGTAATTTAGCCTTTAAACTTTTGAGGCTGTTTCTATAAATTTTAAAATATTGAGGGTGTTAATTATAATTTTTAAATTTTTAGATATCATGTTTGTTTTTAAGTTTAAAAAAGTCAAGGTGTTTTGTGTAATTTTAAATTTTTAAGGCTATTATATACAATTTTTAAAACTTTTGGGTTTTTTTATAATACTTCATGTATTATAATATGTTATCTACGTATAATTTCTTAATCTTATTTTTTTATATTTTTTAGTTATAGGTAGTTCATATGGAGTTAATATAGGATATAATTAGTATTTGGATAGATTAAGATTTAAGTGAAATATTTAAAATAACTTTTTTTTTAAAATTGTTGACCTATAGATAGTTCACGTGGAATTATATAAGATATGATTAAAATTAGAATATATCAATGTAATATTCAAAAAAAGATAAGGGTAATACTGACCATAGAAAGATTTTCCCGAACTCGTGCTTCTAAAGGGAGTATATATATATTTTTTGAGTTATAGGTGGTTCATATGGAGTTAATATAGGATATAATTAGTATTTGGATAGATTAAGATTTAAATAAAATATTCAAAATAACTTTTTTTTTAAAATTGTTGACTTATAGATAGTTCACGTGGAATTAGATAAGATATGATTAAAATTAGAATATATCAATGTAATATTCAAAAAAAACTAAGGGTAATACTGACCATAGAAAGATTTTCCCGAACTCGTGCTTTTAAAGAGAGTAAGATATGATACATATATGTAATAGATCCGTAGCATTTATCTACTTCCCAAAAACTAATGGCACCTAACCCTGTAGGCGTCAAAAAATACTGAAAAGATATCCAAATACAGCTCAAGAGGAAATCATCCAAAAAATCAAAAGAACACAAGTATAGACTGTCTCGCACGTGAGACAGTCTTTGCTGTCTCGCCGTGCGAGACAGCCTTTGCTGTCTCGCCGG